TTCGAGAAGTTTAGTACTCGACAAAAGAGCTTACGCACAGCGCACACATCGCTGCTGGCAGTCCGTCAAATACTGTTCTATTATTTCGTATATGTCTGGTACTAGATCCTTTAGTAATTGCCATTAAGATAAACGTGTTTATTTTCTGTTCGGTTATTCTAGACTGTTATTCTAGATTCTAGAGCAGCGCCGTTGTGAACAGCTCTCCCGAGGCGACGGCGGAGCGCTCCTATGACGTAATGCCCCTAGGCAACCGCGGCCCCTCGAGGCCCCCGGGGGTGACCGCGTGCGCTCCGGGACAATCCTTCATCTCCCGGCGGCCGTGTGCCTTCAGCAGGTGCAAAGAGAAATCGATTCCCTGCTGTTGTTGTTGTTGTTACGTTGGTTAAGGCGCACAGGGGTGAGTATTCGCTGAGAGAGGTGCCGACCTTACTGGAGTTGTGCAGGTGGCTGATGACATGCACTGTAGTCTGTGTTCAGCACGGTGCAAGTCTGTCGCTGCGATGGACGTAATTCAAGGGGATTCAAGTTCCGAGTCTTTCGTCATTTACATTTTATGCTTTATATTATTCATAGTGTGACATTTAAATCCCACACAGGAAACTTCGGCTTCGAAGTACACAGTTAGCAATATTTTTATAACCGACACGGACAGTAGTGACGCGCGTGGTAACTTTAACCCTTATTTTAAACAGAAGTGAGTCAGTTTACCCTTGATCGCGCTGTCTTTTTTCCCCGTTAACTCATTCAGTAAGCACAGCGCGCATTGCAATGAAATTTATACATCGAGAAAATGCATCTAGTGCCACCGAGGTGATCTAATTGCACTGGGTTACTTACCGTAGTCGCCTCAGATACGACCGACACATCATAATTTGAGAAAGGATACTTGTATTTGCATTGCAAGCCTGCTCATTTGTGAACGTTTTTCGTTACGTTATGTTTTGTGCTTGTGCAAGAACAAGTAGGCCTTTAGTAGTTTTTTTTTTATTTAAAACTGTCCACTGCCTGTATACGAGAAACGAGAATGGGTTGATTTAATAATCAGGTGCTTAACAGATGCTTTAATGCAGATCCGTTGTTGTTAGACTCGGCACCACTAGATGGCAGACTAATGACATGTACACAAATTGTCGTGCTACTGCCATTAAAGCTTTGTCGCACACTACGGGTGTTTGTAAAGCGTAGATACGTAGGTAGATATGCTTTTCATACAACTCTACAGGTAAATATTGCCTCTTAGTGATGAATCCATTGAAGAAGATTTTACAGAGACACTCAGTGCAATAAGGGCTTCGAGCCTGGAGTTCACAGGTGTCGAATCTGCAACTGATGTACTTTTACAAGGCTGAGAGGTTACTCAGTTACCTCTAATAGGTTAATTATAGTGAAGAAAACTAAAGTTATTTAATGCCGTCTACCATGATGAGAAGTATCACAGAGTTTCTGGCCTTCAAATAAGCCTCCTAATAATCCCCATCTATGATTTGGTTTATTATTAATCCACTCCTTCAGGGAACTAAGACACGGGAGAAATGGTTATTTTGATCCACTAATGATAAGATCCATTCAGTGCTGTAATCACGCATTTAAGGAGATTCCCAGAAGCCTCCTCATGTCCATTAACTGCAGCAGCAACAAAGTGGGTCTTCGTCGTTTCTCTGTGTTCTCAGGTCTCTTTTTCTAAACACGTGCTCTGAAATTCACCCTGCTTCGCCAATAGAAGATAACCGACTCCACCGAAGGCTTGTCCCAAACTACTGGCCACTGGCATAAGACGTTTCAGCTTTGCGAAGACCCGTTCTCCAGGTTGGAGAAGAACACCGAGCCCAGTAATGGTTGGGAGGTCAGACCCATGCCTTGCAACCCAGGAAAGGTTGCTGGTTGTCCAACAAGATGAAGCCCTGTGTCAACGTGGTTGTCCATCAGAAACGGGCAGTGATCCTATAGCAGATACCGGTGCATCTGAAGCACCAGTCACAGACCGAGCTGCTAAGATGCATCAAGAGCAAGCTGAGGCTAACTGCGAGAGGGCCGTTGAGACCATGGATGGAACGCTGGTAGACAACCATGTGAGTCTTTAATCAAGGGCTGTCCATTCCTTGTTCTGAAGGACCAGTGTGTCGGGTTGTCCAGGCATCTTCAGGTGTTCGGAGAAGCTGTTAATCGGGTTCAGTTCAGCCAGTTATGAACTGACCCAAGACATTAAGAGCCCAACTGGACTGAAAGCCTATGGACACACTGGTCTTCCAAAACTAGAATTTGAGACCTCTGACCTTAACGCCACAGACTGCTTTAAAGCACAAATATACATTTGATGATAACTCAGTAATTTTTGTAAGCTGGTCCATTCATATTGCATGCCATGAATCATACCATTGTGCTTTGAACACCACGCCTCACCTCCATCTCTTGACAGGTGAAACCACTAGTGCATGACCAATGAAATAGATAGATAGATAATACTTTATTAATCCCGTAGGGAAATTGATGAAACTGAGTACATTCATGGCTCTTCAGCATGCTGCATAGCTGTAGAAACTTAACTGGAGGTCATCTGGAGGTGGTAAAAAAAGTTTACTTAGGAACTGGAACAAAAAGTATAAAATGCGTCACCTGACATGTAAGAACTGCAAAAAACTCTGAATTCTTCCTCAGGGAAGAAATCTGCTCTGTGTCCATGTTCCCTCATTCCTCGTACCCGAGTTCAGAGTGAGAGAGGGTACCTTTCCTCAGCCCCATGGATCCTACTACAGCCTTGGACACTGCCTTCGTACCAACATCTTCCCAGGTATGAGCTGGAAGAAATTTCATTCTGACACTACATATCTGCCCCAGCTGTCCTCAGATCTGAAATACAGATGTCTTGGATCCTGTAGGTTTTACATGCCTGTCTAATGCATCACCAGTTCAAGTAATATGATAAATTCAGTGGTAAAGACAAAAGAGTGGGACAAAATATCAAAAGAGTACTGCAGCTTCTCAGGGTGGGAACCTTTTTACTGGTGTGATGCTGTTCTGATTTCCCATTGACTGGAACTTGAACGGAAAAATGATCAAACCAGATCAATTCTTGTCAGAAAAATGCTTCTGCGCCACAGGGTTTACTTTTTACCACTTGACATCCGTAATCACTGGTTTTGATGTTGGTCTCTGACATGATTTCACTATCGTACCTGCAAAGTGCTGAAGGATGTGGGTTGTAAATGAAAAATGCACCCTCTGGGTGTCTGTATGCCACTACACCACTGGGGGAATTTCAGCTCCAGCAATAGTTTTAACCCTATTACAGGATGCTGCACAGGTCCTTTAAATGTGTTTGGGCAGAAATGCAGAATAATCAGAAGTCAAACAGGATACAGGAATAAAAAAAATACATCTGTTTAGCGAAGAGGATAATTATTTTAATAAGGCTTCTGAACAGTTTTCCATCAGGAATCAAGATGGTCCCACACACGTTTCAGTTATTCTCACTGCTGCATTCTGTAGAATCATTCAGAAGAAGAAGATCCATTCAGTGACTAAGATATGCATACTTACTTGCCGATATAGGTTATTTTATTTCAAGGGTGATGATTCCAAAACAGTACAAATGCATGTGAGGGACAAATTGCCGAGTACCTACCAGAGCAAAAGCAAAACAACTGTCTTTCTAAACCAAAGTGGATTGTAAAGATACAGACAACAGGATAGCAGGAGAGCCCTGTACATATTATGAGGATCTTAGTCTGCATCCTCAAAACCACAGATCTTCATCAAGAAACAGATGTTCAAAAGGGTGGAAGTATATCATTCCTCATTCCAGTGTTTGCGGTACAGGGCACATCTTTCTGTGAACCTGCACTGACATAAAGGAATGTGATTTTTATTATTATTATTATTATTATTATTAT